TTTTGCACCTTGCGATAAATCCTGCCATTTGGTGAACACTAATGCCCAAAAGCTACATGCACAAAGCATGAAATGTGACAGGCACAATCACAGAGACCAATGTGCTACGCATTTCAGTCGAGGTTGAGCGATAATTAAGATTCACAGTTTGCGCCTTGATTAACCAATGGGACTGCTAGGGATAGAGTTCATATTTCTAACAGCACTGCGGCAAAAGGCGTCCGAACGAGTGGCAAATTAATACGCATCTAAGGTGAAATCTCTGGGACACGTGTCAGCCTAACGGATACATTGGCACATGACTAATTGAATTTTGTGGCTAGTGCTGGGCCTGCATCTTGGCTGTTTTTGGAGGGGAAGGGGGTTGTGTTGGTAGGTAAGCAATGCCTAATCATTCTAAGCCAATGTTTACTGAGATAATTTGCGGCTTGGACTGGCTGCTTCAACAGCCTCAGTGAATTGACATCGGATGTAAATTGCATTATAAATTCTGTGTGAAACAAATTTCTGAATTGGGACTTCAATTAATTGTCAGATGAGTGGTTTGGACCACGTTTCTTGTTGCTTTTTGTTCCATTTTGCTGAAACAATTTACATGTCTATGCTGGGTTTTTTTGTAAAAGAATTGTTTCCTTGTGTTAGCAAAATTAATCTGAAGTACCTATAATTAATTACATGTAGAAGCAAAGTGTTTGGACTGTGCTAAGGTCTATTTTCTTTTAATTAATTTTGCAGGTTTTCCCCCATTTTTTTGTTCAGCAAACCTATGTCCTTTTTTTTAAGTGAAACAAAGTGCAGTAGTCTTGACTGCTGACATGTTTTGTTGTTTTGCATCTGATTTTTTTTTTCAATTGGAGTCGATGCCTCTCAAAACATGATTTAAGAAAATAAACATCTAGAGACTGAATGTTTGTTGATGTATAAAGTCATTTTTGTCATGTCCTGCCTGAGGCCAGTGTCAGCATTTGCCTACTCAAATTTTCCAAATAAACATAGAAATAATTGGCGCAGCATTCGTAGGATGTTTCTTTTCTTTTTAGGGCTAGTGGAGGTGAGGGGATGTTGCCGTCTCACTAGTCTTCTGTATACGAGTCTGTGCCAGAGCTATGTTAGTGTCGTGTTCTGATCGGTGAAGTGCGTACACGTTCAACTCTCTGCAATAAATTACCTCCAGGCTTCACGCTTGTGTACAGTAGTATCTGGTAATGACAGGATAATGACAGAGCTTGATAAACTCACGATTTTTCAACCACACAGTTACATTAAAGCAGGCAAAAAAAGTTGCCCTTTTCTGAGTGGACTGACAGATTGACATACAGGAGCCATGAATCACAGATTCAGTCTTCTTGAAGTCTGTTGGATGCTTAATAATCACAAATTCTTGTTAATTTTCAAACTTACGGATGAAGCCGTTGGATGCATGTATGGACCTTTACAAATCATAATTGTATTGATTTTAAACTTCATGTCATGTGTAATCAATTTGTCATTTCATAGGTTTTGATCAGGCTGTTTTACATCTTTTGAGTCATTTTTTTTTTGTTCTTGGTCACACGTTTATTTTTTACTGCAGATTTCCTGAGCAGGTTTTTTTTTTAGATTTAAATGTTCGTTAAAGCTTGAGATTATTGCAACCCTTATCCCTGGGTCTTTTCCCTCCCAGGATAACCTTATTCCTTGTTCTCATTGATGCTTTAGAAAGAGTATGCCATTGCCTAGATTAAATTCTCCTTTCTAAAGATTTCCATCTCATGTGGATCACTGCTTCACGGATAGAATTAATTTCCAGGATGAAAAAAAAAAAGTTGTGAAGCCAAAGTATAGCACTCTCCTCCTTCACCACAATGGAATTGTGGAATGAAATTTGCCCACTTTCGTCCCTCTGTGTACACGTTTTGCACGACCCATTTTCAGATTCCAATTTCATAAACAAATACAAATTTGCGGTGTGTGTATGTACTAAATGCCAGGTGCAGGCTGCAAGTAAACATGTCAGGGGGGGAAGTCTCCCGTACACACTTCACACAGACAACAACGCTTTATTGAATTCATTAGGCTAGAGAAAGGAAGGCAGTTTGGGTTAGCACCTTTGTAAGGAGTTCTGTCAATGTGGCTCATGATTGAGCAGCTCTGTAATGTATACTGCTGTGGTGAAATTGCTTCTTCTTTGTGCTTCTTTCCTCTCTTCTGGCCCCTCCCCCCCAGATTTTTTTTTTTGGATGTCTTTGTCCTTCCTGTTATGCAAGAGAAGAGATCATAAAGGCTATACTTTGTCATTTGTTTTGAGAAATAGCAAAGTTTAATTGTCAAATAAATCTTACCCTTCATTTACCTCTCTGTATATCCCAAAATAGAATACTCTAATACTCTTAATTGAAATGGAAAATTTTTTCCAACCCTTTTGATTAAGTTGGCCACAGGAAGTGGGGTATACAAGTTAATGTGTGTTTGCTGGAAAAGTTGATTTAATATCCTTGTTCATTTGTACAAACTAAACTTGTCCTCTTGTTTTCTAAGTCATTGTTATAGTTTGTTCTCACTAAGGACTGATTGCTGTAAACATTAAGTGTCCCTATGGTCATGGAGGAAGGAATGGTTAAATAATAGCCATGGTATTGTAGCGCCACCTAGTGTTAGGATGTACCAGCTACTGACTGGAGGGTGTCACAAGTATAGCTAGCTGCATGTATGGCTAGCTCATCTGTATTCAGATATTATATGCATTATCTACTAAGCACTCTTTGCTGAGGAAGAACATGTAATTTAGGCCTTTACCATTGAAAGATTTGGGGGTGTACTGTGTCCAGATTGCCTGCTCTTTAAACATTCTCCATGTGACAAATGCATTGCTGAAAGATGTCGCTTTGTTTGCTGGAAATGGATTTTCAACATGGACACTTTATAGCTTATTATAACTTTATGACAACACTTAAAGATTGTTTCCAGTTCCTAGAGGGGAATAAGTATTCAAGTAAGTTTCATGTGATCTGTTAAGCAGACAATGAAAATGCACCATTACTTGTCCAAGCACCCAGATTTATGTTTTGTCTTTTCCTTAATTGAAAGTTGATGAAAATTCTCTTTTGATGTGGATGAAATCCATTTTTTTCTTCTTGAGAGATTCTTTTGTCAGGTAATTTGTAATTGATACCGTTTAAGTGTTGTGATTTATAAATGTTTTCAGTTTTGCAAACCTGTTTTTTATAACATGAAATTTACTATGTAGTGATCAGCAGATGTATGCACATGTTCACAGGCAGATGGCAAGCACACACTAGTGATTCATGCTTTATTACCTTGTAATTGAAACAATGGGGAACAAAATCCTTCATCCATCAGGAGTTTTCCTTCATAAACTTACTCAAGAAGACTTGTGCCAAGGTTGATAGTTGAGTGGAAAGTAGTGCAGAGGACATTGGCCAAATTGTAATGAATTTGTGTCACAACAAATCAGAGGTGGCTTGGTAAATACCCTGGTGAATGCTACCAGATTTCTACCTTGATAATTAATAAATTGCAAACTCGTCAATTCTAAAACTACTTGACGCTTGCCTTTTTTGTAAGACTTTTTTCTGCTATCTGAACCTTTTTGTTCACTGTAATTTTGATGTTATAAGAAGTAATGTCAGATAACTTGTTTGAATGATCTGATTGGTTTCCAAAATTTGCTTTTCAGGTAAAAAAAAAAGACTTCACTCTAGCTGAATAACATCAGTAAGGAAATACCTGCAATGATCATTTTACCGCATTTATGAAACATGGAAGTGGAGATTTTTTTAGGAGAAAAAGCAAGAAAACTGTTCTAGGTTATGTAGATGGCTGTTTTCAGTTGTCTCAGACCTGTGGAATTTTTTGTATGAAGTTCGAAGGTGTTATTGTCAGTTCAAACATTTTGACTTCCACTGGAAGAGTAAGTGCCCTTTGAAAGTAACTGATATGTGGATGTGGTTTGGTAAACTGAATGAGGTAAGCATTTGAAGTCATGGTTGACACATAAAAGAACTGATCTATGCTGCCCTCAAATGTAACCTTTTCACAACAGTTACAAGTTGTCACTGAAAAAGAGAACTTTGCAGAACACTTTTTAAAAAAAAAATATTGAACATAGAAAAGGTGATAGGAAATTTTAAATTTTCGGTTATGTACATTTGCCTACTAATTCAGGGTAGTCAGCAGAAGAAAGCTATTACAAGAATGTTTTGAAATAAAGTGAGATGAGTGAAGATAGATTATGGCAGTAAAAATAACCCTCCCCAAGGAGAAATTCTTTGGTACCTCTTGCCACCACAAAATCCTTCTCCTCCTCCTACAGGTCCTCAAGAGACAACATCCCTAATTCCCTGAAGTTAACTTGGGACAGTGCTGGTTGAGGGTCTGTCTGAGTTCAGCATTGTTGAAATAGCTGGACTCCAAGTTGTTGAAGGAGTGAATGTTGTGTGCTGGAATGATAAATGGTGGTAGTGACGTAGCATTTAGCCACATTTCATACCTGTGTTGTCCCCAGCGTGTCATTAAACGACTCTGGTGCCATTCTTCACTGGAGAGTCGTCAATTTTTCTCTCTTCAAAAAAGTTCTTTATCCTTCAGTAGTAGGTCTGTCTTTTTAAAGTTGCAGAACATTGAATTCTTTTATCATTCTTCCAAATTTATGTTAAATGTCACAATTTGATTGACCGATGGCATTGCTGAGTGTTATTACACAATTTTGCAGATACAGATCAATATATCTGGTGTCAAATAGAGACGTCAATTTGACTTTGAAATACAAATTTTGAAAGAAGAAACCTTCTCAAGAACACAAATTTGACAGCAGGCCAGACTTTGTATTCTTAAACAAACTGAAGCTAATGGATGAGTTTGGTTACTCTATGTATACCAGCTGTGTTGTAAATGAAAGTTTCAAGCATGACTGTCAATTTCAAATTATGAAATAAGCATTCTAGCATTTCCCTTAATATAAATGTTGTTCCTTCTGGTTTGTCCATTTTTTTTTCCTGCAGGTATGTATGACTCATGTGATAAGTACATTCTGCCATCCCATGTCTTCCATTCTCATTATGATATAGTTTGAATCAGAGGCAATTTGTTTGCTTGTTGCTGAGAAGAAAAGGGTAAGTGTTGTTATATTTGTTCTATTGTCCTCAAGTTGGTATTATTTTTACTGGTATCTGTGGCAGTAAGAGTGTTGGTTTCTTTGTATTTCTTTTGTTATTTGTTCCCCACATCTTGCTCTGGTTTGTTTGTTGAGAATAAAAATTGGCCTGTAGATTTTAGATGAAAAACTGATAATTTGGAACTTCCTTGAGGAGCGTGCTCAAATACTGTAAATTATTTTGGTTCAAATCTGATTAGTCACAGATGGGAAGAGCAGACCCGTCACCAGGCGGTACCTTTGATCTGCTGCCAGATATCAAGTGACTTCTTTGTTATAGGTTGATCGATAATATCTCCCATGGCAAGGAGAAGTAATTTGTGGAGCATTTGTATGACGTGTCCAGTGCACTGAAGAGAACATTCTACACGCCTTTGATACCTCTCTCTCCCCCCCACACAAACAAATGTCTGGATCACACCATTCATGTGAAATTAATTATTTTTTCTCCAGTCTGCTTCCAATACTCCCAGCCCAGCACTAGCTCTCGCACCCCTCTCCCTTCTTTATTTCTTTGGCGTTTTTCTTGCCGAGTTTCTCCCTTGAATGTGCTCACACTAGTGGAAGAAATTGGAAATTTGCATGGCAATAGAGGCAAGTGTAGGAAAATTACATTAGGTGTGTGTGCTTCCGAGTAGGCATTCAGCAACCTGACGCTGTCACCATCACAATAGCTGGGTCACGGTTAGCCTTCGTGAACACTGCTAGTCGACAATACTTCTCCTGGAACAGTTGCTGATTGCAAAGTGTTGTAAGCATAGGGTAGAGGTTACTAAGACCCATTGCCAGGAAAATATCAGGATTTGAAAACGAACAGGCTGACACAGTTTCTGTCTCTTGTTGACAGACATTATGTTTGCATGCATTGTTGCGTGTTTGGTTGGATGGCACAAAACTTGCATTTGATGGTGTTTTTTTGGTGGGGGGATTTTGAAGGGAGAACCAAAATCCTTATTAATCCTTCTGAATCCTTATCCTTATTTGCCCTCTGTTTGTGTCATGATAAATTATTGTGAATGTCAAATATAGAAATTTGGTCTGTATTACATCACGATAATGTCATTGGTGCTGTTGCTTGACTGTTAAGCTTGCTGTTAAGCTTCACTGTACATGAGACAGGCAGGAAGAGATGTGTCTTGATATTGCGACCTTCTTTAGTTCTACTCATGCATATGGTAGAAATAAATGTCGTGATGGGGTACTCATTGTGAAGGAGGAATACCGTAACTCATTTTCCAGAAAACTTGAAGGTCATACATGTAAGTATGTTGTCTGCCTGTGTGTGTAGTGAGTGTGTGAACTTGAATCATGGCATTTCATGGCCAGGACATAACATCATGATTGCCGATTGGCATTTTTCCAAGCAAGGATTTGCCTTTGGCCTTCAGGTGACATAGATGATGCCAAGTTTCACACTTCTTGAAATGGCATGTTTTCATGTCGGGAATGAAACAACAGCTCCCTGTAGGAAATCAAGACAGACATGGTACGTTCCTTATCTGAACTGAGAAGTCACTCACACATGGTCCCGCTTGCTTGTTTTGTCAAGTCATTTTTTTTTGGTTAGTGCACATACTTTGGATTTAGATATGGCAGGAAGTGTCTGCACTGACTACAGAAAACCAAACACTACCAAGGATGGAAGAGGAAACAGTGGGAATGATTAACTCCTGAGTTTTGAGAGATGAACATGGCCTTCTCCAGACAAAGTGAAGTGACGGCATCAATGCATTCCAGCGTGTCTTCTACTTGGCAGGGAGGCAGTAAAACACTTGCCTACCCTTCAGCTCACATTGCTTGCTGTCATTCTCGGGAATCAGGACTGCTCGCAACCAGTCATTAGAGCCGTTACAGTGATGTCTCAGAGCCTAATTCTATGTTGTTTTACTCACAAAGGCTGCATTGTGTTGTCCATTTCTAACAACTTGTTAAACCTACAGTAGTGATATAGGCTCATTTGTAGAGATTGAGTATTCAGTAGACTAGTTTGAACACATCCACATGCGCCAATTCCAATGTTGTAACACTGGTTTTTGGTGTTCATTTCTTCCTATGACCTTCTTGAGACAAGCAACAGTTTCACTGGTAGAACATTGTGCATTCAGTAGCACCGATGATACCTTGCTTCTTAAAGGGTTACAGAAATAGAAAACATTTAGCTCATGTGAAGTATTTAAAAATAACAGTAAGTACATAACCATGGGAAACACTGCAAACAGGCAAACATTGTCTCAGATCAGGGAAGAAATTAAAAGATAAAGTCCTACTGTGTATTTCTTGAACTGGAACAGTGTTTGCCCTGTTGGTCAAGCTTACATCAAACACAACATGGTCCATTGCAAGCGTGCGATTGTACATGCACGATGCGCTATGTACATGTACACTGTACATGCATCTGTCTGGCGATGACGTCGTCCAATCAGCCTTGGAAGGCGAACGGCGAAAAGGGGATTTTTTGTGGGCAGGGAAATGTAGGATATATTTATTCATTTGCGGTCACAATTAATGAGGTAAACATTAAATTCATGATGTTTTTGAAATGGTTTACATATTTATTGTTATATTTAAATACTTCATGCGAACTAAATGTTTTCAATTTCTGTAACCCTTTAAAAGCAAGTCAGTCCTTAGACATACGTGCATGATATCTTGCTTATGTGATTAAGCGTCGGGGACTTTGGTGCATATTAAAGTTTGTCTGCAGTCTGTGTCAAAAAGAGCCAGTCAATGTAGGACCAGATAAAATAGTTCAAAATGGACTGTCAGTGGTCTTTGTTTAACCGTGTAATTGTTCAAGATAAGCTGTTGGCTATTTCACAAATATAACTTTGTACAATTATGGAAGAGTCATTTGAAGCAATTTAAGCCACCTTGGTTTTAATAGTCAAGTATTAGGTTGAGACAAAAGCCAAGGATCAGTAAAATTTGTTCTCAGTTACATGTACCATCAATTCAACCACAGACATCACAGCCTGTGAACTGGCCGCGACTTTGGATTCTGCCTCTTGACTGTAGAAAAATTCATCGGAGCAAAATGCTTGGACCTGATCACGGTGTGTAATTAAGGAGATTGCGTCATGACCTATTCATGAAATTTTTGCTGCCTGAAGGGTGATGAATTCCTGTGCACACACAGACACTGTAGATGTTAGTTCTTTGACCCTCAGTGTGAAGATGAGGTAACATGAACATTGTGGCCTTTCATGCTGTATTGCCTCTGATCTGAGATTTCGGAACGCTATCTTGTTGCTTTGTGGCACAGATCAATTTCCCCAACTTCCAAACTGAGCGGCAAGTTTTTGTGTCTTTGCATCCTTCTGGGCCAGACTTTTTCTCCTGCTGGAATAGATTCCAACAGCCCCTACAAAGGCGGCTTGTTTTCCAGTTTGGTTCTGATTTGATTTGACGCTTGTCTCTTGGGGATTCTTCAAGGTTACTTCGGATAGGGAAAGCACTCTGCTCACCACTGTATTTTACCACATGGGCCCATCTTTTATGACATTTTAATGGCATTGATGCGTGCAAGCAGGATTGCATGGACTGTGACTATTCCCCAGGCAACTCCTGTGGAAAATTATTTCTGGCATCTCTGACCTTTTTTCCAAGTGACCTTTGACCTGGGCATGTCTTTAGGGGAACCCCCAGGGTCTGCTTGTAAAGTCTGCTGGTTGGATAATGGATAAGGATGGAGTGGTTAAAAGAAAGAGTTAAAAAGTGTTTACAGATTTATTTGCCATGTCACGTTTGCATCCTTTGGAATCCTGGTTTGTTTGGCATAAAAACAAATAAAGAACATGAACACATTGACCAAATACCTTCAAAGACAACAAGAAAGAAGAACTAGTAAAAAGGCTTCAAACTGTTGGCCAGAATGCAAAGCTAGTCTAGATCTAGAGATTAGTGTGGTTTACATGTGAGCATCTGAAATGGAAATTGGAGGCTGGAAAGGAGTCTACAAAGGATCATGATAGTTATTTAGGGTATTTGGCATTTAAATTAAAGTTAATGCATTTTGTTATAGAAACTTATACAACACTTCCACTTTCTTAGATCAACAGTGCACAATTCATTTGAGCATTTTATACATGTTCTTTCACATTCTGTTGAGGTGCGCTAGGATGATATCTAGGTTGTGTGTATTACCGTGTACAGTAGCTTCAGTGTCCCTGTCAAGATTGGTCATCCTGTTATAATCGCAGAATCTTTCCATTCACTTCTATACACTAGCAAGAATAAAGGAAAAAAAGGAGCTAAGTATTCAGTACATTGACAGGGCGCATAAGCTTCAATGGTGAATAAAAGCTCTATTCGCACCTTGATATGTGTTCAGTTATTGTAGCTACTCAGGTTCTCTCTAACAAATGCCAGCTCTGTTACAAAGCCCTGATCCAGTGCTATTTTTTTCCACTGCCATTTGTTTACAACAAAACAGGCCGACACCAGTCTATCAAATCCCAGGGGTATTCGTGGGTGCAACCCTGCAAAAAGTGCAAATCCACACGTTAAAAAAGACAGAAAAGAAAGCAAACCAAAAGAATACCACCTTTTGGGGGTAAAAGAAATTTTCAATTTTGAGACAGCCATGCCCTGAAGGCTTTTTTTTCCCCTGCTTTCTGTGGTCGGTTTTACACATAACAGAATAGCTTGGGCAAGGGGGAGCTGTGGCATGCAGTTGGCCAGCCAGGTATTCCAGTAGTTAGAGATATGTTGCCAGGGGTCAGCCAAGGTCAACTCCATCGGGAACTGTAGCTAGCTTGTACTTCTAAGGTTCAACCAAAGAACTGGCAACAGTGCCCTGCCAACTGACATTGAGCCTGTCTCTACCAAAGAACTTGCAACAGTGCCCTGCCAACTGACATTGAGCCTGTCTGTATCTTGTGGTATTTGTTCCCATCCAACCTATTGTCTAATCTTTTTCAAAACGATCCAAACTGATGGAAGAATATTCAACTGTTGTTG